AGGTAGGAATTTAAAGGCTTGAAAAATTCATTATTTAAATGACTATTTCTCAAATCAAAAAGATATTATTCCACAAATGGTCTCCACAAACACTCGAATTAGGAATGGACTACACTACGTGATTGAGTTTGTTCGACGTTCGTCGATATAAAAAAATTAAAATAAAAACTTTTCGTATTTTGATTACTGAGGTACTTTTGTATTTTGATTACTGAGGTACCGTATTTAGAAGGTTGGCCATCAGTAAAAAAAAGGTCGTATCGTATCGTATAAATAGTTTTATAGTCCCACACAGTAAGCCGTATCGCCTGGTCTCCCTTGATTAATTTTCGGCATAAGCGGATTGCGCCCACCGGCTTGTTACCAACTTCTATTTTAACCTGATTTCTTTTTTGTTGGTACACAGTGCACTCATCGGGAAACGCTGAGATGTATTTAATTTAATATTTGTTTTTGAACAAGAATAATAAAAATTTATAAAGTTATAATTTATAAAGCTGTTGATTAAAGGCCTATGCCTTCATTTTATACTGGCTATAGCTTCATTTTATATATTTGATTTACATAATTGAAACAGTAAAGAAGATTCTCGAAAAAAACAATTTAAATGCATGTCCCGCGAATATTGTAATTTTTTTATTTTTTATTATTGCCGTATAGGCAGACGAGCATACGGCCCACCTGATGGTGAGTGGTTACCGTCGCTCATGGACGTCAGCAATGCCAGGGGCAGAGCCAAGCCGCTGCCTACCGTTTAATACTCTCCACACTCTCAAGTGAGAAAGGTAAGTACAATCGTCCTATTTCATTCATAAGCTGGGTTGCAAGGGCCACACTACTATTTATTATAAACTTCGGTAATAATTTATAATACAAAACCTGCAAAAAAAAAATCGGTTGAGTGTACTCTGCAGAGGAGCAAAATACTTAATCATTACTCGTATATACTAATTTCAAATTAAATGTGTTATTATCTATGGCAATTTCCCGCCATCAACTGCGACATTGGGTTATTCAAGAAAAGAGCATATTCTTTCCTGATGGGTAGGCAACGCACTGGCGTAAACGCTGGTGACCGTGGGCGGCGGTGAATCACTTACCATCAGGTGACCCGTCTTACTCGTTTGACTCTCGTTGTTATAAAAAAAATATATATATACAATCTGCCATATTGTCCGTCTGTTATAGTCTTCAATTGAAAATATTTTATCAGCAGTTAAAAAAACAGAACAATCTAATAATGGAAGGAGAATAAAGCTAAATTAATAAATTAGTTTGCTAACACAACGGCTTCATGTTTTCAATGATCGTTCGCATAAAAGGAAAGCATTTATCAAAAATATTTACATCGGTAGCGATTGAATCGGTATCGGCTTAATTTGCGTGGAATTATGCGGTCGGGAGTCCGCCGGGAAATCAACTTTGAATTCAATTTGCCGCGGCTCTGAACGGAAAAAAAGCAATCTCCTCATTTTTACCTGCCCGTCTATAACGTAACAACATTTGTACTAAAATATTGCCGAATACATTTTAAATTTGATTTCAACAGATCAAATGCGATTAGTGGATAATATTATGATTAATTAGTTCCCTTGATAAATAAACTTGTTAATTACCTACTATTACCATTTATAAAGTAAGTAAGTAATTCTTAATATCGTATCTATTTATGGACTTTTTAACGGTTATGTGTATTTTTAGTATTTGCTAGTGGTCCCGCAGTAGTCGAAATTCGACTATAATTAATTGAAATTATAAGTATCAATATTATTATGGCCCTATTGTTACAGATTTCGCCAAGACTACACTATAGACAAATACTCGTAATATTAAAGATAAACAATATCTAACGTATTCTCAATTTGACTACAGACTTTAAGCAATAGCAAAAGTGTGACAATAAACAAAGTAGGAGTGGGTAATATCGGTTTTGCCGCGTATCGAATCGTATCTATATATCGAGGATCAATATCGGATATTGAATCTATATATTTTCTGAATCTATATATTGATGGATGCTAGTAGATTTTCTCGATTCATGATATTTGAGATTTGAAACGATACGCTGATATAATATCGTAGTAGATATAGATTTAAGTCAACGTTATACGGTTGGTTTTCTGATATCAATTTATAATATGATCTTAAAGTAATAAAAAGAACATGAAAATAAAAATATCAAAAAAACTTTCCTTCATGCTTTTACCAGGCTTAGGACTGGCTACATTATTTTCAGTTTTTAGTATTTTGTGTCTTAATTTAAAATTACAAAATATACCAAAAGAGTGTAGATTTCAAAAGTTTAATACAAACACAAGAAATAAACTCAATTATTTGGATTCAACTAAAAATAGAAAAATGTGTACTTTAAAAATCAAACACAAAAAACTTTTAAGTATTTATAAACACTTGTCCAAAAATTCTAGTTCAAGGTCAAAGCGCGTGAAATTAAATTCAACGATGCAAATAGGCTATACTGCATTCAAGTTAGGGTCGAAAGTTGAAACTTCTTTCCTTAATTGTATCCTGCTGATACGCTAAGAATAATCTACAGACATATGGACTTAAATATAAGGTTTACAATTGTATGGATAATGCCTGTTTCTGTTTCATTCATCACATGATATCCCTATCGTGCGCTCACTCACTCTGGCCGATTCGATACGAACCAAACGAATATTGCTGATATTAACGAATCGGTACGATATGCCGATGCGCATCACATCGAGCAATATCGTGTATCGGCCGATATCGAAATATAGATTTCGATTCACGAATCGGTCCGATATGGCGATGCGCATCACATCGAGCAATATCGTGTATCGGCTGATATCGATATATAGATTTCGTGCGGGGCGATATCGGATTCAACGATATTGCTGCGATATATAGATATTGAATCTATATACGATTTATATCACCCACTCCTAAAACAAAGAGGATATGTGTGTGTGTGTGTCAAATACATGGTAGTGTGTGTAATGTTTTCTTTATTGATTTAATGCATCTTTTATGCATTATTTAAAAAAAAAAATTAGCATTGTGCATATATTCTCTATAAGTGTGGAAAATTTCATCTCCTCCGTCCGCGCAATTTTCGTAAAAAGGGATACAAAATTTTTGCTTCACGTATTAATATATAGATAAGCATGATTGCGTTTGAAAAACCTTTTTGAGAAATTGTATGCACTGCCCATTGATATCACACGAATGTTAACATTATAAATGATAACACCTATTTGTCAATTTATTTGTCTAGTTTATAAAAGTTTTTTCTTTAATACCTAGTTCTTGATCAATACTATGCTCTAGAAACTACAGCGCTTGTATTCATTATACTTGTAACCTCCATATGATCTATGACATAAAGAGGTTAATATGTTATAGAGTTGACATAAATGTTAATTTTGAATATCGAAATATTAGAAGAAAGAACATAAGAAATATAAAAAGATTTTTGAATTGTCACTACATAGTATAAAACAAAGTCGCTTTCTCTGTCCCTATATCCTTATGTATGCTTAAATATTTAAAACAACGCAACGGATTTTGATGCGGTTTTTTTAATAGATAGAGTGATTGAAAAGGAAGGTTTATATGTATAATAACATCCATAAAATAGTGGAGAAATACTGTTATCAATAATAAATTACAGTTTCCTAAGTGAAGCGAGGGCGGGTCGCTAGTAAAATATAAAAAACATAAAAACTGGTGAAGCACTAGCTTTAAATGTTGTTTCTCTTTATAGAGCAACTCAATTTGTGCTATAGTTTTACCCTAGTAAACTTTATTTTTATGTGAATAAAATAATACATTATATACTTGTGTTTTAAATCTAGTGAAAATTCAAAACGAGTTTCATGCATCCAGGTTTTTAATCGTCACGTTTCACTAGATAATATTTGGCAATTTAGTAGTGCTGCATGTCGTATTGTGTGCGGCGCTGACTATCGGAGGTATCGGTGTCGTAATCACGGCCGCCGGCAGCGCCATTCAATGAGATGAAATCACTATGCGGCTGTATGAATAATTCAGGTGCGGTCCATCGGCTAGGTGCACCCCGCCCGGCACCGCACTACACTGCCATCGGGCCGCGACAACACTGTTTCTATAACATCTTTATAAAACAGTTCATGTTTCGTATAAATTCGTTTTTTTTTAGTTCGTAGTCGTTTAATCATAATTGTTATTAGTCGCGATTCTCTTTTATGATGGAACTTACTAGAATGTAAAATAAAAAATATTTTAAAAAAAACTAACAAAATACGCTTTTATAAAAAATCCAACTAAAAAATAGAAAATTAATTTGAATTAAAAATAGTGTAAGAAAAAATGATTTTATTGTAAAAAAAGCAAATTTTAAATTTGCAAATTTCGAGTTAATCCGCCATTTTGAAGAGGGTCAAAATCATGTTCAAAGATTCCGTTACAAACATACGTCTGAAGCTAATAAAGCGTATTAAAAAGAAACTCGTCGCCCTACTGTCTTCGGAAGGTAAAGCTTTGATGAATTATTTAACTATCTTCAAATAGTGTTAAATAAAGCTTTTGACTGCGTCTATCTGTTTTTTTGGCGATTTTGATAGGTTTTCGCCAGTAGAAAGAGCGATAAACAAGGAAAATTTGTGTTGATAATTTGTAAATATTTTGAACGAAATGTGTTAACTATGACTGTTTTATCTCAAATTACTGTTTTCGTTGTAAGCTTAAACCATAGATAGACCTTTAGTATAGGTTTCATACTTCAGTGGCTTAAATGGATAACGCTGGTGTCAAATCCTATCACAAGTGAACCGGTAATGTAATTGACGCAAAATTTTAAAATTGAGAAACAGCTTTGTTGTAGAACAGCTATGCCCATGTCTTCCAGTGGGTTGAGCGAAGCTACTGGCGCAAAGCTAGTTTAATTAAATACAAAATTTAAGTTTTACAAAATTTATTGAAAACTATTTGTGAAATTAATCTAATCAATAAATAGCACTATATATTATTAGATCAGTCTAGTGGTGGTAGGAAATGGCAGGGGAAGAGAAGGTCACTTGGGTTAAGGGAGCACTGTTGTAGGCGATCTTGGCAACTGGGGCGGCGTATGCGACCTTGGCGATGGGTGCGCTGTAGGCGATCTTGGCAACAGGAGCACTGTAGGCGATCTTGGCTACGGGTGCGGCGTAGGCCACGGGGGCGGAGTAGGCGAGCTTGGCGACGGGAGCGGCGTACGCGATCTTGGCGGGCTGAGCGACGGGGTGTCCCTCGTAGCGGACGTTAGCGTTAAATCCGTTTACTTTGTCGGAGGTGTACTCGACGATGCGGTGGACACCGTCGGGTTGCACCAGTGAGTAGAAGCCCTGGACGGCGTCTCCAGCGCGGGACTCCTTCTGCTGCTTGATGTCTCCGCTTTGCTGGTCGTGAACGGAGTACTCGAAGTCGTAGTGTGCGGGGGCTTCGTGCTCAGCATATTCCAGAACTGGAAGAGCTGAAGCGGCCACCGCCAGGGAGAGGACGACGAAAAACTGGAACACAATTAAAATGCATTAATCAAAATACATACAACACACGTTCTAAAATAGTTTATCACATATCTGAAATATTTTTCTTCGACGAGTAATATTTTGGTTCTGATGAATTAATTCTGATAAGTACCTTAGCTGCCATTGTTGTTGTATTGGACGTTGTAATTCAACTGTATCGTTTTTCGAAACCACACCTGTTTTTATATGTACATGATTGGTCGTTCGCCTCGCGACAATTCGCCCGAGGCAATTGAACTCATTACTGAAACAATTAGAGAAAGAGGAAGGTCACACTAGTGGAATGTAGTGTTTCAAGATTCAAGAACTTTTAGCAAACACTCATGTACCTCATGTAATTTATTTTGCCAGTTTCTCGTCTCCGGGGAAATGAGTATTAATGCCTTAATTCGCGATCAAGATGTTGCAAGAAAGCTGTTCAATAAATTCGGTTTGATTAGATCAGGTCGTTCAAGTAAATTCGGGTAAATATATTTTGCGGTTTTTTAGTGGCGGTTATTTAGAGATAGCACTTGAATAGTACTAACTTAATGTCATCGAAACATTAATTATCGGTTGTAGGACGTCTTGTGAGTCCGCACGGGTAAGTACCACCAACCTGCCTATTTCTGCCGTGAAGCAGTGGTGCGTTTCGGATTGAAGGGGCAGCCGTTGTGCTGTAAAAACTAAGACCTTCGAACTCATGTCTCAAAGTGGGTGGTGGCATTTACGTTGTTGATGTCTATGGGATCCGGTAACCACTTAACACCAGGCGGGCCGTGGGCTGATCCACCCATATAAACAATAAACAAAATACAAACGAAGTAAATTGTCTTCTCTGGCTCTACAAAACTTGCATACGTTCGGTCATAAGATATATAAGCAAGTGTAGGGTTCGATCACGCAGCCCGCATTCGCATAAACACCCTACAAGTTATTCAATTCCGTTTTTAGAGAATAGCTGTTGGAGCACCGTAGTACGTGAGAAACGGTAGGCAGCGGCTTGGCTTTGCCCCTAGCGGTGCTGAAGTCCATGGGCGACAGTAACCACTCACCATCAGGTGGGCCGTATGCTCGTCTGCCTACAAGGGAAATAATAAAAAAAAACGTAGACCTTCACGAATACCTAGTGTTAGAACCGATACGTAAGTATCTTCTTATTGTGACTGCCAGCAACTACTCGTACATAGCTGATCCAGAGGAGCAAAAGGTAAACAGTCGCCGTCACCCAAATCACATCATTTCTGATTCTCGCGATCCACTATCGTTGCTTATAAATACCTAACGCACTAAGTTGAAACCCCTTCAAATCATACCGTCCCGTTTTTGCAGGATGGCCGTCGGAGTACCGTGGTATGTGAGGAATGTGGAGCTCCACGACGACCTGGACCTGGAGTCCATCAGTAATGTATCGGCATTAGTGCGCCATTTCGAAAAAGCAGCACGGCACGAGAATCTTTTCATCGTGGCCGCCGGTAACTACATTCCCGATCCTGCGGACCGAATGGTAAACAGTCCACGTCGCCCTAAACATGTCATTTCGGATCCGCCCGATCCACTAACGGTGCTTTTAGGTGCTTCAAACACCGGTCATCGCTCTCGTCGACCCCTCGCTTGCGACCAAGGGCTCGGCGAGCAAATTAACCCACAGACACAGCCCATTGAGTTTCTCGCCAGAGCGAGATGAATGATGAACAATGAACTCTTCTCAGTGGGTCGCGTTTCCGATCCGTCGGTAGATTTTGTGAAGCACTGCTAGTGTAGTGTTAGCAATATCGTCAGGTTTGAGCTCTGTGAGCTCACCTACTTGTTAGTTTACTCTGGCATAGCCTCTCAAGGCTACCAGCTAGTTAGCAAAAATAATATGACTCTAGAAGCCAGTACAAGAAGGAGAGTTAGAATGCGCTATGCCTGTTTGTATTGTTACATAAAAAATAAGCAGTAAAATTTCGGTTATTCCCTTAAATTGTGTGTTCATACTGCATAATGTAATTTTCTTAATAATTTCAAACAAAAATCTCGTTAGCGTATTGTATAAGTACCATGTACCCTTATGTACCATGTACCCCCCAAAACCATTTTTGAGGAATTTTTTTTTGGTGTTAGAGTGGAACTGCGTTGTAAAATACCGTGTTATAAAAGGGTTACCAGTATACATACTTACGTCAGAAAGATCTGACAGTTGGCGACTTTCAAATGTTGAAAATATTCTTAATGACGTGTGGTAAGAGCTAGTTAAAACATAATTCAAATACATGTCACCACACATGAATTGCTTAAATGTTAGTACAATGTTGGCAATACACGTATAAAAAAGCGTCCCAGCGTCACACGAGAGGATCAGGATATTGTGCTGAAAGCACCAAGACATTTGGTCTGACTAAAACTATGTACTTAAACGGTTATATCTGTTGTGGCGTGCAACCTTTTTGAAACGACTAATGATCTACAATGACAAGAAGACATAGACTAAGATGGAGACTTGACACTGTGACTTTTCATACTTAACAAGGCGACAGGAAAAAGGGAAAGTTATTGATTAGTATAGTATTTGTTACAAAGAAGTATTACAACTTTTATACCCTAATCGACGACAAACGTCTGAATCAACCGTTCAATATGACAAACATATACTTACTTTCCTTCTATAATGAAATAAAGCCCGATACGCGTTTTTTAAAGAATTCTCTTATCGCGTTTGTTTTCGCAAACCAGTTTTAAGATACCGGAGCCTATGGACATCAAAATGTGAATTCCGTCACCAATCTCGATATCTAAGTCTCAATTGTAGATATTGTATTGGCTGATCTATTCTTCAAACCAGAACGAGTGATGGCTTCGCGTACGAAATTGGCAATTGTAATACGGCCTGCTGATAATAAAATTTAATGGTAACTATACAAAAATGTTATGAATTGTAACAAAAACGATAGTGAAAATTGTATTAAAGTTACAGCGGCTTAACATCAACCTATACCAACAGTCTTCAGTAGTTATACAAGTCGGTAAGAATGCTATGAGATCTACAGTAATCATATGTTTTGTCAAGGATTATAAAAAAAATACATGTTGTGTAAACCAGTGTTCTGTCAATAAACTGATATGAAAACAAAAAAATGGTTCAAATGATTTATTTAGCAACGATTCATACTCAATAAATACAACGATCAACAATAACAGTGATTGTAATTTGTAGTCTAGTGGTGGTAGGAAATGGCAGGGGAAGAGAAGGTCACTTGGGTTAAGGGAGCACTGTTGTAGGCGATCTTGGCAACTGGTGCGGCGTATGCGACCTTAGCGATGGGTGTGCTGTAGGCGATCTTGGCAACAGGAGCGCTGTAGGCGATCTTGGCTACGGGTGCGGCGTAGGCCACGGGGGCGGAGTAGGCGAGCTTGGCGACGGGAGCGGCGTACGCGATCTTGGCGGGCTGAGCGACGGGGTGTCCCTCGTAGCGGACGTTAGCGTTAAATCCGTTTACTTTGTCGGAGGTGTATTCGACGATGCGGTGGACACCGTCGGGTTGCACCAGTGAGTAGAAGCCCTGGACGGCGTCTCCGGCGCGGGACTCCTTCTGCTGCTTGATGTCTCCGCTTTGCTGGTCGTGAACGGAGTACTCGAAGTCGTAGTGTGCGGGGGCTTCGTGCTCAGCATATTCCAGAACTGGAAGAGCTGAAGCGGCCACCGCTAGGGAGAGGACGACGAAGAACTGTAATAAATTAATAATATTTGTTAGATTCGGTTAAAATAATATGAAATATAAATAAATTGATTATTATTTTCATTAAATACCTTGGCTGCCATTTTGTTGTCTGAATGTAGATACTAGACTGTGTCGATTCTGTGTCTGGTTTCAGTTTTATACTCTGATTTCGGTTTGTTCTCGAGGTCTGTGTCACTCGACCCGCCCGCGGCATGTTAATTGCAATGGAAGGGTGAAGGCCGCGCTACACATTTCTTATGTCAACCTACTCATTACACGCGAACTGCTGATGTAATTCATGCAAAACTTTAAATTTGAGAAATAGCTTTAGCCTAGAACAACTCCACCAACATTTTCAAGTGGGTTTAATCAGAAACTACTAGGAGATTTATTGTAAAAAAAGCAGTAGCGTTTGCTGACTGTTGGCTTACTGTTACGAAGACGTATTTGCTGGGGGCAGTGTAGCAGGTAGCCGTAATAGAAATTAAGATATGTAATAGATATCGCTAGAAATTAATATAATATAATATAATATAATAATTACCGATAGAAATTAAGATATGTAATATAATCTCGCTAACGCCATTTTCAAGATAAGTTTGCATATTGTATACCTATATATGCAAACTTATCTTGAAAATGGCTAAGTTCTAAACATTTGGACAATTTGCATTTGTACTCTGAGTTTACCGAGCAATTTCATCCGCTCGGTGGAAGATCTTCCTCTTGTCGTTACCTTCCAAAGTGTTAGTAGTAGTTAGGAGTATTGATAGTCTATATGGGTAGGAATATATTCATTAATTGCTTTCCTGTAAGCTTGACTACTACGTTAATTATATTGTGCCAGTCAGTGTATTCTACATGATGGTATTGTAGTGGCAGGGCATATTATGAGGTCAAAGGTATCATAACCCGCATAGGGTAAGTCGCTTATTTCTGCTGCGAAGCAGTCAAGCCTTCCACTTTGAAGAATGGGACAGCAATAAGACAATTGAGCCATTTCACAAAGCGCGTGGCGTTATTCCCGTGATTATGTCTCTGCGCTCAGGTAACCACTATCCACCTGGTCACATAGGTTCTTCGAATCTCCTCTTTCCAGATTAGATTTTGCAGGGAAACTCAATGAGCAAAGCTCTCTCTATTGCTCTTTGGGTTACTTTGATTCTTCTGATAAAGTCCGTTGACTGCGACCACCACTCACTACCGTGTGTCATGGTTATGATTGGGTGCACGCATTGGTTATAAAGGTTCGTCTTGAGATACTGCGGTATTTAGGATGAGAAGATTCTTTTTTTATGTTTTTTTTTAGAATTGAAGAATTGTTGAAAGACAGTAGGCCTTTCCAGTTTCACATGAACTGGTGGGCGATCAAAGGCCAAGAGAGGTGGGATTTGCTAACAGTTGCCCGAGCGCCTCCGAAGGAAACCTAACAACTCAAGAGCAGCTGCTTCGCGAATGAATCTACTACCGGATCGGAATCGCGACCCGCTGAGAACATGCGGCGAGAAACTCAGCGAGCTGATGCATGGGTTAAATTGCACGTCGAACGCTTAGTCGAGTTCAGCGAGTACGGTTACCGGGGTCCCCAAGCATGCTCCTAGTGTTAAAGCAGAAGCCATCTAATGCAAAGGTTATTGGATCTAATGGATCTGTAAGGACGTTTCTAGGGCGTCGACGGTGACTGGCTCCTGGATGATCAGGATTCGAGGAGTAGCTAGCAGCGTCAACGATAAGGCGATTATCATGACGAATAGCTTTCAAGGCCCAGGTCGTCGTGTAGGTCAACGTTCCTCACGAACCACGGAGCTCCGACGGCTAACTTGCGAAAATGGGATTGTATTGATTGGAGGGTGTCTATGTGCGTGCGGGCCGCGTGAGCGAACACCACACTCGCGTAAGTCTTGACCGCTCTTATGCAAGTTTTGTAAAAAGTCACCTTGTTCCAAAGGGACATTTTAATCCGAGAATAAACACGGCACGGTCGCGGACTGTTTTAGTATACGGGCAGAATGTCATGATTTGATTTGATTTGATTTGATGCGTCCTGGGTGACTCCCAGGTACTTGACCTTCCTAACCCAGGGAATAGGTTGGCCTAAGAGGGTGATTGGGGATGTGAGATTTCTCCTCTTAATACGGGAGGAAATTCGTGTAGAGTTTCCCCTTTGAAATAGCACCACTGTGCTTTTCACTGAGTTGATGTATATGCGCCATTTTCGTAACCACTGTCCGAGAGCCACGGCTGCGCTCTTGAGCTTATTCGCTATAACGGACTTATTCGTATTCGAATTGTAAACGGCTATGTCGTCAGCGAATAAGGCTGAGTCGGCGGCGACCGGGGAATGTTGTTAATAAATGAACTAATTAGAAGCGGCGAGAGGACGAAGCCTTCGGAACTCCAGCTGTGAGCGGTCGCGGGGAGGAGCGGGTTCCCTCGACTCGATATCCAAAGAGCGGTTCGACAAGAAGTTCCGTATGATGAGCACGAGACTGTCCGGCACGCATATGCTGAATAGTTTGTAAATCAAACCGTTGTGCCAGACTTTGTCGAACGCTTTTGCGACGTCGAAAAAGAGAGCTTCCGTGTAGGTATAACGGTTTTGGTCGGTTAAGCCCTATGAGAATATACTCCGTGAGGCGGTGCACCTATTGTACGCATGAGTGATTTGCACGGAATCCGAATTATTCATCGATGATAATGCCCCTGGATGAGATGAAGTCTCTGAGACGTTTATAGAGCAGACGCTCATTCAGTTTGCCTAGAGACATTATTTTGTACAGGTATAGATGCATAAAACGATATAGTTTACGACCTACAGTAGAATTATTTTGTCCGTGCTGTTTGGGTCATAAAAAGTCGGAGCGGTGAAGCGAGTATTTCGCTCTCTCTTCCACTCACGAGCCTTATGGACGGGCATAGTGATGCGCATTATTGTTGTCGATAAGCGTTATCGATAGTGTATTTAGTTTTGTCATTTTGTGGGTTAGTGATAAAAATGAAAGAAAGAATCACTAATCGAACACTTACGCCACATATCGCCGCAGCAAGTCAACAAGAACGGCAGAAATTAACACTTTGTGACTTTTCGGAATTTATTCTTATTTCAGTGAAAAATTTTAACATATTGTTGATAAAAGTCGTCGTGGCCTAAAGGATAAGACGTCCGGTGCATTCGTATATAGCGATGCAACGGTGTTCGAATCCCGCAGGCGGGTACCAATTTTTGTAATGAAATACGTACTTATCAATTGTTCACGATTGACTTCCACGGTAAAGGAATAACATCGTGTAATAAAAATGAAACCCGCAAAATTATAATTTGCATAATTTGGTGGTAGGACCTCTTATGAGTCCATACGGGTAGGTACCACCGTCCCGCCTAGTTCTGCCGTGAAGCAGTAATGCGTTTCGGCTTGAAAGGTGGGGCAGCCGTTGTAACTATACTTGAGACCTTAGAACTTATATCTCAAGGTGTGTGGCGCATTTACGTTGTAGATGTCTATGGGTTCCAGTAACCACTTAACACCAGATGGGCTGTGAGATCGTCCACACATCTAGGCAATAAAATAAATAAAAAAGAACAACAACAACAACTCTTTTTCTCCACCTTATCCCACTAGGTGGGGTCGGCACAGCTAATTTTTCTCTTCCATTCTCTTCTATCAGCCGTCATCTCAACACTCACTCCTCTCTCTCTCATATCGTCATTCACACACTCCATCCATGTCTTCTTCGGTCGACCTCTTCCCCCTCTACCTTGCACTACCATTTCCATACATCTCCTAGTCACATGCATCTTCTCTCTACGCATCACAGGTCCATACCACGCTAACCGTCCGCTCCTTAATTTGTTGCTTACCGAGGCCACTTTCACACTTCCTCTGATATACTCATTCTTTACCTTGTCCATTGTTGTCACTCCACACATCCATCTCAACATTCGCATCTCTGCCGCATGCACTCCTCTTTCATGCTTTACTTTCGTCGCCCAACACTCAGATCCATACAGCACGACAGGTCTAATGATCGTTTTGTAAATTTTTCCCTTGGGCTGAAGGGGAATTCTACGATCGCATGCTGTTGCAGAGACCTGTCGCCATTTCAACCAACCAGCGTTTATTCGATTTGTGACGTCCCGGTCTATGTTGCCGTCGTTCTGGAGTATAGAGCCGAGGTACTTGAAGTCGGAGCAGACTGGCAGCGATACACCATCTAAGGCGATTCGCGTGAAGTTTGAAGAACCACCAAAATCACAAAACATGTGCTCGGTTTTTGTTCGACTGATCTTCAAACCCACGTTTTCCAACCTTTCTTTCAATTTGTCAGTCTCCTCTGTATCTCAGGCCCTTCCTCTCCAACGAGAACAATGTCGTCGGCGAACAGCATACACCAAGGCGCCTCTACCTGTATGTCCAATGTTAGGGCATCCATTATTAGGATGAACAGGTAAGGGCTTAAAGCTGATCCCTGGTGTAAGCCTACCGCCACGTACGTACGTACTAGCTCTACCGTACATAGCTCGAACAAGCCGTTGGTATTTCCCTGGCACTCCTTTCACTTTCATGCTCCACCACAAAACCTCACGGGGAACCCTATCATACATACATACAACAACATGTGCAAATATTATTTTGAATAAATTCTGCCGTTTTGATACAAAACAAAGGAGTAACCATTGTGTCACTAAAGAAATTCAGATGAATTAAAATAGGAGAGTATTCAACTCTACTTTCTACTCTAATTCCAACTCTGATTTTTAAAAGTAGTGAACTTTAAGAAAAAAAAAAACAGATTTATGATAAATTAGAACACTTTATTTACAACTATTCATAATCAATAAATTAGGGCTTCAGTAACAAAAGGTTTCTGAGTTCAGCCTAGTGGTGGTAGGAAATGGCAGGGGAAGAGAAGGTTACTTGGGTTAAGGGAGCACTGTTGTAGGCGATGTTGGCAACTGGGGCGGTGTATGCGACCTTAGCGATGGGTGCGCTGTAGGCGATCTTGGCAACAGGAGCACTGTAGGCGATCTTGGCAACAGGAGCGCTGTAGGCGATCTTGGCCACGGGTGCAGCGTAGGCCACGGGGGCGGAGTAGGCGAGCTTGGCGACGGGAGCGGCATACTCGATCTTGGCGGGCTGAGCGACGGGGTGTCCCTCGTAGCGGACGTTAGCGTTAAATCCGTTTACTTTGTCGGAGGTGTACTCGACGATGCGGTGGACACCATCGGGTTGCACCAGCGAGTAGAAGCCCTGGACGGCGTCTCCGGCGCGGGACTCCTTCTGTTGCTTGATGTCTCCGCTTTGCTGGTCGTGAACGGAGTACTCGAAGTCGTAGTGTGCGGGGGCTTCGTGCTCAGCATATTCCAGAACTGGAAGAGCTGAAGCGGCCACCGCCAGGGAGAGGACGACGAAGAACTGTAATAAATGAATAATATTAGTTAGTGTCGGTTAAAGAATATGAAATATAAATAAATTGATTATTATTTTCATTAAATACCTTGGCTGCCATTTTGTTGTCCGAATGTAGATACTTGACTGTGTCGATTCTGTGTCTGATTTCAGTTTTATACTCTGATTTCGGTTTGTTCTTGAAGTCTGTGCCACTCGACCCGCCCGCGGCGTGTGAATTGCAATGGAAGGGTGAAGGCCGCGCTACATATTTCTTATGTCAACCTACTCATTACACGCGAACTGCTGATGTAATTGATGCAAAACTTAAAATTTGAGAAATAACTTTGGTCTTTCTAGGCTCCACCGCTCCACCCAAATCTTCAAGTAAGTTTACTCAGAAATTACTAAGAGATTCATTGAAGAAAAGTCAGCAGCGTTCTCTGAGTGTTAGTTTACTCTTACGAAGGCGCATTTACTCGTGGTAGTGTAGTGGGTAGTTAAAATAGAACACAATATATTTGACAGATGCCTGTATCTCGCTAACGATATTTTCAAGATATTTTTGTATAAATACAAGCTCCGAACAAGAAAATTTGACCTGTTTCGTAAGGAATGTTGACTTATACAACGATCTGAGCCTTGAATCCATATCAGGAACACATGGGATCAGCATCGAAACGGGACATCGATAAGGTCATGCGTCATAAGAATCGCCTCATCGTAGCCGCCGAAGACTCCTCAACTCCGGCTCAAACATAAGCCAGACACCGTTGACCTCCTGGATACAGTCTATTATTACTTTTGCGTAATTTAGAAATATATTACTTTTTTACTCGTTACATTTTCCTGGGATAAAGAGTCACCCCTGCCGCTCTCTGGTCGATAAACTACATTTCCGTTATATCCGTTAGTATGTAAAATTACGGGTCAGCAAACATAATGTGGTATTTGCTATATCAGATTTGCCGAATATTGCCTGGTGATGTCATTTACCATATAAAAAACGACTATAAGTTTATAAACTAGTTTACAAACTAGCTTTGTGAGAAATTTCATTCAAATCGATTTAGTTATATTTTGCTTGATTAACCTGTAAACACCGAAATTTTCAGATTTATAAATCAGGATATCAGTATACACATCAGTATAGATGTACTGGTTTTAGAGTGTTTTTTACTAAGTCTGGTGGGCTAGCTACCCTGTTTACAGGTGTTATAGGTTTACAGTTTGACATCAACGTGAATGCCACCACATATCTAGAGAAATAAGGTCGAAGTTTAAATAGTACTTTATAGCTTCTGTCCCATACATCAAACTGGAACGTACAACTACTTCACGGTAGAAATACGTAGTAAGCTGGTACCTAACTTATGATATGCCCAGCCAATAGAATAGAACCAGATATAACACTATCAGGTAAAATTGTTGAATTAAGATCTTTGAACATTTTCAAAGCTTAGGTAGTAAACAGCTGTAATGTTATTCGACTTTATCGATAATCTTAATCGAGGAGTTATCAATTCCATTGCTTTTTTTGTGTGTCACCTCATAACGTATTGCTATGATTATACATTTATGATGATTCTTTTATATTTAAAAGCTGGTGCTTCGCATGTAATAACCAATTAAATTTTGTAAAAATCTGACCAGTAGTTTTTGAGTTATCTTTAATAATGGATTTATTTGCACACCTCTTTGCTAGTAGCTAAGGGGATATTACAGGGCTCAACCTGGGAGAATTTGCCAACACTAGCCATAGCAAGAGCAGTATTCGCAGAATCTACCACCGGATCGGAAGCGCGACCCGCTGAGATGATCCGCCGAGAAACTCAGCGGGCTGATGTATGTATGAGCTTAGGTTGCACGTCGAAATCTTTAGCTAGTTCGACGAGTACGGTAACCAGGGTCCCTAAGTTTGCTCTTAGTGTTAGAGCTGCAGAAGTCTAATAATAGCCTTAGTGGATCCTCTTTATCCCAGGTTTTTTTTTATTGCTTAGATGGGTGGAATGGAATCGGAATGGCTAAAAGTGCGATGTCTCAGCTACAGAAGATCTGGAAGAATAGAGGGATAGGCCTGAAAACTAAAACCAGACTGGTGCGGACTCTTGTTTTCTCTATCTTCTTGTATGGAGCTGAGACATAGACGTTGAAAGCAGCACACCGAATGCGCATCGATGCTTTCGAAATGTGGTGTTGGAGACGCATGCTAAGAATTCCGTGGACAGCCTTCCGGACTAACGTGTCGATATTGAAGCAACTGGGCATCAAAATCAGACTGTCTACTGTATGTCTGAAGCGGATCCTCGAATATTTTGGTCACATTGCGAGGAAAGACGGCGATAACCTGGAAAAATTTATGATCACAGGGAAAGTTGAAGGCAACAGATCTAGAGGCCGCAGCCATACTCGTTGGTCCGATCAGATCCGCACCGCTTTGGACAGTACTGTGTACAGCGCGCTGCATGACGCCGTGGACAGGGGAAAGTGGAAAAAGATCCTAAGATTGAAGCTCATGGGTGATGGTGGTCACGACCCTCAGACATGAGGAACACGACTCGAGGAGGAGGAGATGGGTGGACGAGCTCACAGCCCACCTGGTGTTAAGTGGTTACTGGAGCCCATAGACATCTACGACGTAAATGCACCACCCACCTTGAGATATAAGTTCTAAGGTCTTAGTATAGTTACGACGGCTGCCTCACCCTTCAAACCGAAACGCATTACTGCTTCCAAATATCAGCTACTTCCATTTGACTCCATACAGAGACGGGCTGTTCGGATGGTCGATAGTCCCGCTCTCACGGATCGCTTGGAACCTCTGGGTCTACGGAGGGACTTCGGTTCTCTCTGTGTTTTATACCGCATGGTCCATGGGGAATGCTCTGAGGAATTATTCGAGATGATCCCCTCATCTCCTTTTTATCATCGCACCTCCCGCCATCGGAGCAGAGTTCATCCATATCATCTGGAACCGCTGCGTTCATCGACAGTGCATTCCTAAAGATCTTTTTTGCCACGCACCATCCGGCTTTGGAATGAACTCTCCTCCACGGTGTTTTCCGAACGCTATGACATGTCCGTCTTCAAACGAGGCTTGCGGAGAGTACTTAATGGTAGGCAGCGGCTTGGCTCTGCTCCTGGCATTGCTGACGTCCATGAGCGACGGTGACCACTTACCATCAGGTGGGCCGTATGCTCGTCTGCCTACAAAGGCAATAAAAAAAAATTTACTCGTATTTTGAGAAAGTGTGAACTTTAAAAAAAAAACGGATTTATCATAAATTAGAACACTTTATTTACAACTATTCATAATCAATAAATTAGGGCTTCAGTAATAGCAGCTTAGTGGTGGTAGGAGATAGCGGGAGAGGAGAAGGTGACGTGAGCTAAAGGAGCCGTATCATAGGCTACTTTGGCGACTGGGGCTGCGTATGCGACCTTGGTGACGGGGCCAGCATAGGCGATCTTGGCGACAGGAGCGGTGTAGGCGACCTTTGCAATGGGAGCGCTGTAGGCGATCTTGGCTACGGGTGCGGCGTAGGCCACGGGGGCGGAGTAGGCGAGCTTGGCGACGGGAGCGGCGTACGCGATCTTGGCGGGCTGAGCGACGGGGTGTCCCTCGTAGCGGACGTTAGCGTTAAATCCGTTTACTTTGTCGGAGGTGTACTCGACGATGCGGTGGACACCATCGGGTTGCACCAGCGAGTAGAAGCCCTGGACGGCGTCTCCGGCGCGGGACTCCTTCTGTTGCTTGATGTCTCCGCTTTGCTGGTCGTGAACGGAGTACTCGAAGTCGTAGTGTGCGGGGGCTTCATGCTCGGCATATTCCAGAACTGGAAGAGCTGAAGCGGCGACCGCCAGGGAGAGGACCACGAAGAACTGTAATAAATTAATAATATTTGTTAGGGTCAATTGAAAAAATATGAAATACTATGCTTATTTGATTATTATTTCCAATAAATACCTTGGCTGCCATTTTATTGTCTGAATGTAGATACTAGACTGTGACGATTCTGTGTCTGATTTCAGTTTTATACTCTGATTTCGGTTTGTTCTCGAGGTCTGTGTCACTCGACCCGCCCGCGGCATGTTAATTGCAACGGAAGGGTGAAGGCCGCGCTACACATTTCTTATGTCAACCTACTCATAACATGCGAACTGATGATGTAATTCATGCAAAACTTTAAATTTGAGAAATAGCTTTGGTCGTTCTAGGCCGGTCTAGCGGTGAAGCTCAGCCCAATTCTTCAAGTAGGCTTCTCAGAAATGACTAAGAGATTCATTGAAGAAAAGGCAGCACAGTTCTCGGAGTGTTAGCTAACTCTTACGAAGGCGCATTTACTGGCGGCATATATCGGGTAGCTATCATAGAACACAAGATATTTGACGGATGTCTGTATCAGGCATTTACGGCAGATGGATGACGGCATTTACGTTGTAGATGTCTATGAGCTCCGGTAACCACTTAACGATGAGTATTAGTAAGTTTTATAGTGTAAGTTGATGTACATAATAATATATGCGTATTGTGTTGCTTTTTTTTTCTAAATTTTTCTTTTTTTTTCTAGGTCCCTTTCTACTTATATGTGATTTTGATGGTGGAAACATGTTTGGTTATTGTCTTATCTATTATTTAAAATATTATATGTTAATTTTGTACTGTTGGTTTCCCAAATAAATAAATAAACACTAGGTGAGCTGTGAGCTTGTCCACACATCTATGCATTAAAAAAATAATATATAAACACTCGCTAACGACATTTTCAAGATAAGCTTGTATATATAAGTTCCGAACAAGAAAATTTGGGTCTGATTTGTAAGAAACGTTGACCTACAGAACGATCTGAGCCTTGAATCCATCAGGAAACACGTGGAATCAGCGTCGAAATGGTACACCGATAAGGCCATGCGTCATGATAATCACCTCATCGTGGCCGCCGCAGACTTCTCAACTCCGGCTCAAACAGGAGCCAATCACCGTCGACCCTCCTGGATACGTCCTTATGGATCCATCGGAACCACTATGGCTATTATTAGACACCTGCAGCTCTAGCACTAAGAGCAGACTTAGGAACCCTTTTTATCGTACTCGTCGAACTAGCTAAAGATTTTGACGTGCAACCTAAACTCATACATCAGCCCGCTGAGTTTCTCGGCGGATCGTCTCAGCGGGTCGCGATTCTGATTCGGTTCCACAAGGTGCGTGGCGTTGTTCCGTTGCTGATATATTTGCGCACAGGTACCCACTCTTCACAAGGTGGCTGTTCTCCATTTATGAATATATTTTTTCATACAAAAAAAACCGTGATTGCTGCCAAAAATGGTGACCTGATGATGCATTAATAGATATCTTTTAATTTAGGGATTTCGTAAAATAAGTAGAGCTTTCCTCTTCAAGAAGATCCTATAATTACCTAAAATTTTAACAAAAAAAACCCGGCTTCAATAAAATAAAACAAGAAGTCGAAGTCGATTAACTATGCATTGTTAAGCACTCCTGTCGTGGCCGCAGCTAATTACTTGTCTCACCCAGGCAATGGGGCAACTCAAAGTCGCCGTCGCCCGAAAGATGTTTTGTCGTATCCCCCGGATCCACTCTCGGTGATTTTAGGCCCGTCAAACAACGGTCACTGTCCGCGTCGAACCCGTCGATTACAACTAAGAGCTCGGCGAGTGAACTAATCCATAGGCACAGCCCGCTGAGTTTCTCGTCGGATCTACTCAGTGGGTCGCGATTCCGATCCGGTGGTAGACTCTGCGAAGTACTGCTCTTGCTAGGGCTATTGTTGGCAAATTCTCCCAGGTTGAGCCCTGAGCCCTACCCGTCCGGGCATAGCCGTAACAGCCCCTTAGGCTACTAGCATAGAAGTTTGAAAAAAATGTATAATCATAGTAATAAGTTAAGAGGTGACACACAAAAAAAACAATGGAATTGATAACTCCTCGATTAAGATTATCGATTAATTAATCGATAAAGTCGAATAACAATACAGCTGTTTATCACCTGAGCTTTGAACATGTTCAAAGACCTTTATTCAATAATATTACTTGATGATGATAAATCTAGCTGTATTCTATTGACTGGGCGTATTATAAGTTAGGTACCAGCCTACTACGTATTTCTACCGTGAAATACCTAGTTGTACGTTCCAGTTTGAAGTATAAGACAGAAGCTGTACAGTACCTACTGTTTAAACTTCCACCTTATTTCTCTAGATGTGTGGTGGTATTCACGTTGATGTCAAGCTGTAAACACTTTGTAAAAAATAACTCCGAAAACAGTACATCTATACTGATGTATATATACTCATATCCTGATTTGTAAATCTGAAAGTTTCGACGTTAACAGGATAATCAAGCAAAATATAACTAAACCGATTTGAATGAAATTTTTCACAAAGTTAGTTTGTAGACTAGTTCATAAACTTATAGTCGTTTTTTATATGGTATCTACATGGCATGACCAAGCAATATTCGGCAAATCTGATATAGCAAATACCACATTATGTTTGCTGACCCGTAATTTTACATGCTAACGGATCTGCAAATGTAGTTTATGGACCAGAGCGACACGGGCGACTCTTTATCCCGGGAAAATGTAACGTGGTTCGTTCTTTTTTAATTGTAAATTTAACGCAAATGAAATAACAAGGCATGTCTAATAGAAACTAAATAACTACGATAAAATCCGTACATAATAATACTACATTATTGGTAGTGTATCTAGTATCAACAAATATCTATTTCGTTTAATATGTATGTCTTGTGTCCGTTTTTTTTAAAATAAAAATAAAGTAATGTATTTCTAAATTATCCAATAGTATTAATATGTGGTGTAAGGTGTATTCATGAATGCTTACAGTTAGAAGTTTCGTAGAAACGTATTAACATTGTTAATGACACAGGCGGAATAGGCAAATAATCAACTATGCTGCAATTTTAACTCAAATTTTGAGTAATTATGAACTTTAAGAAAAAAAAACAGATTTATGATAAATTAGAACACTTTATTTACAACTATTCATAATCAATAAATTAGGGCTTCAGTAATAACAGGTTTCTCAGATCAGTCTAGTGGTGGTAGGAAATGGCAGGGGAAGAGAAGGTCACTTGGGTTAAGGGAGCACTGTTGTAGGCGATCTTGGCAACTGGGGCGGCGTATGCGACCTTAGCGATGGGTGCGCTGTAGGCGATCTTGGCAACAGGAGCGCTGTAGGCGATCTTGGCTACGGGTGCGGCGTAGGCCACGGGGGCGGAGTAGGCGAGCTTGGCGACGGGAGCGGCGTACGCGATCTTTGCGGGCTGAGCGACGGGGTGTCCCTCGTAGCGGACGTTAGCGTTAAATCCGTTTACTTTGTCGGAGGTGTACTCGACGATGCGGTGGACACCGTCGGGTTGCACCAGCGAGTAGAAGCCCTGGACGGCGTCTCCGGCGCGGGACTCCTTCTGTTGCTTGATGTCTCCGCTGTGCTCGTCGTGAACGGAGTACTCGAAGTCGTAGTGTGCGGGGGCTTCGTGCTCGGCATATGCGATTTTGGCTATCGGGACCACTGGGAGAGCCGAGGCGGCAACCGCCAGGCAGAGAACGGCGAAGAACTGTTGAATGTATTGTTATTATTATTTTTCAATTTATTAATGTCAGTATGTAAGCTATTTCTACAGGGAAGCACTAATGCATTCCAGTCTAAAGGCTGGGACAGACGTTAAATAATACGAGACTTCGTATCTCTTGTAAAGTGATATTTAAATTGTACCCTTAACCCTACAGTCCAACGGCTTCTATTTCCATCTAGAGCAAAATACTATTTACCTTAGCGGCCATTGTGATATTTTGTGATGTAAGTGCTTGACTGTGCCATTCGTATGAGCTGCACCAGTTTTTATATGAATGTGTCGCATGCAGGTCGGCGCGGTGACACGCATGCCCGGGGCGTTTTAATTAATAAGCTCCACAATGATTGAAAGGTAAAGGTCACGCTGTATACAGATCGCGTGTCAATCCGCTTAAGTATGCGACAACGTTTGTAACGGTGTCATGAAACAGATAAGATCTGCCGAGTGCGAACGAGACCGTGCAATGAAAGGCTCGTGAATATTGCACCTGAATCGCAGACGTGATTCGACCTCAGTACGTCGCGTCGTAACTATAATTTCGGAAACCTGTTTGTTGTTATGTTACTGTGCGACTTAATGAATTAATTGTTTATCCGCTTATTTTTTTTTAAATTCGTTAATTAAGCACTGTTGTTCTCGCTTTGAAAATATTTGTCAAGTCGATGAAACTTAACAACGCTGAGAAAACGCTGGGGACTAGCATAGCGCCGCCTCCGTCTCCAGACGTGGGTGTCGTAAAAGGCGAGTTAAGGATTCTCTGGAGCGTGGGCAGCATTTTTTCTTTCTTTTTTTTCCTACGTAAGCTGATAGCCTTGAGAGGCTATTTCAGCGTAACTTTAACTAGTAGATGAGCTCACGGGGCTCAAACCTGACGACGTTGCTAACACGAACCCTGGCAAGAGCCGTGCTTCACAGAATCTATCACCGGATCGGAAATGCGACCCACTGAGAAGATCCGGCGAGAAACTCAGTGGGCTGTGTCTGTGGGTTAATTTCCTCGTCGAGCCCTTCGTCGCAAGCGACGGGTTCGACGAGAACGATGACCGGCTTGGGCAGCAGCATTCTCTGAGCATTGTATTGGCGTATTACGACCGCAAAATAATGGCGGTAGGGCATATTCTAAGCCCCAACAGATACTCTACTGCAATCCTGCCTATTTCTGCTGCGAAGTAAAAATGCTTCGTGTTTACCGACCAGTTTGAAACGTGTTCAAACTTATATTCAATTCAATTGAGTCTTCGACTTCATGTCACGAGGTGGGTGACAGTAATCACGTTGTGATATCTATGTGCTCTTGGCGTCTAGGTGTAACTTTATTGACGTATCTACTCAACAAGTAAACAAAAATAAGAAAGACTACATCAAGAGCAGCCGAGGGTCCTTTTAATGAGCTCTGATGTTAATAACCTTGGTGGACGAGATTAATAATCTATTATGTACGTACGATGGTTATTACGCAATTTATCACGCTCTTAAGAGGCTTGTGACATGCAGGCAGGTTGCAAATAAAAAGACAGGTCTTGGTGGTGACAATTGATACACTGTAGGACTTATCGAAATTTCGAATGCCTAAAAAGAAATTGCACCAAGAAACGAATACCTTTTTCTCCTTATGGGCTGTATCGGTGATCAGAAGCTTGTGTTTCATCATCATGATCATGTATTTTTTCTTGATAATCATGAATTATATTCCATCTCAACGACGGAGTGAAATATATGATGTTTTACTCCCGCATACCACCGAAACGTCTTTGGCATCTCGGGCATTCAGCAACAACATCAATCATTCAACTCATTCATTCAATTCATTCAACAACAAAATCACAACAACAGTCTTGGGCATCATCATCACTTCCTTCCGAAGCAAAAAAAAAATTATGCTATTGTCTCCAGTGTCACCATTATGTAGCCTAAAACGCTCTTGTACTTCTGTATGGTGATGAAAGAATACATCCGATTATGCCCGGCGAAAACTAAACAAAAACAGTAATTTTACCTCATAACTTGCTACGTAAATATTGTAATAGTTATTGTTAAATTTTTTTTCACATCTCACAGCCCACCTGGTGTTAAGTGGTTTCTGGAGCCCATAGACATCCACAACGTAAATGCCCCACCCACCTTGAGAACAAGTTCTAAGGTCTCAAGTATAGTTACAACGGCTGCCCCACCCTTCAAACCGAAACGCATAACTGCTTCACGGCAGAAATAGGCAGAGTGGTGGTACCCATCCACGCGGACTCAAAGGTCCTACCACCAGTAAATTATCATCAAAACAAATTCATCTCGTCATATGAAATCCTCATCGCTCTATTTTAAAGTCACATGAGCTAGCCAATACGAAGAATAAGCGAATGTTTTAAAAGAGTTGCTCATTATTAAAACACTTACGATTTAGAAATCCTAAAACCAATTCGAATTACTTAGTTATCAAATATCGATTTAGAAGATCCATTTATAACCACCAGCCAGACTAATTGACTAGTGTGTTGGGTAATCCAATTACAGGTATCTACCATAAATCAATCCTAATTTAGAATTATTTTGAACAAATCCCCGGACAAGAATGTTTCGTAAGAATCTTTCAAATAAAACGAAATTGGTCATCTAACTGTATGAAATTCAAACTGTTTTTTCAATAATTTGACATAGGTAGATAATTAGTATCTTTGTTTTAAAAATACTAAAATTAATTGCGTTCTTAAACCATTATATAAGTGCGGTACAGGTAAGAGATAAAAATTCTAAAATTTCTTTTACAAATATGTACGATAAATGCTGATGCAATTTGGTTTGATATGAACTCAATTGCATTGGGATCTTGAAACGAAATTTGAATACGATCAAAGGCGTAATTTGAAGGTTCAATGATAGGAATAGTCCACACATCTAAGCAATAAAAAAAAATGAACTTAAATACAAGCGATGTGAATAAAATTTATGTATTTAAAATATTATTTTTTTGGGGCTTAGATGGGTAGACGAGCTCACAGCCCACCTGGTGTTAAGTGGTCACTGGAGCCCATAGACATTTACAACGTAAATGTGCCATCCACCTTGAGATATAAGTTCTAAGGTCTCAGTATAGTTACAACGGCTACCCCACCCTTCAAACCGAAACGCATTACTGCTTCACGGCAGAATTACCCGTGCGGACTCACAAGAGGTCCTACCACCAGTCAGTTGTTTGTTTGACACTACCACTATTACCGGCTGGGAGATACTTACCCTAATATTTATGTTCTAATTGTCTCCGGTGTCTTTGGATGCTACCAATTAGACGACTCGTCTACTGGCTTTTATCCAAGTTTTTTTCATATTGTTATTAACAGAACATAATTAATTATGTAAATACTACAGCGTGCTCACTGTTGTAATATAAAGGCAAGCTCACTGCCTACAACTAAGTGCTTATAGGATTTTTTTTGTGCCAACCTAAACTAAGATTTATTTTTTAGGTTTATTAAGTGCCTTAGTTAAGTTAAGGTTAGGTATAATATATGACAAGGTATAATAACCTTAATAAAACCTTATTTGCGCTTTCAGCGTAACCCTAACAAGTAGGTAGCTCATGGAGCTCAAACCTGACGACGTTGCTAACACTAACTCTAACAAGAACAGTCCTTCGCAGAATCTACCACCGGAGCGCAAACGCGACTCGCTGAGAAGATCTGGCGAGATACTCAGTGGGATGAGAGAGATACTCTGTGTCTTTTGTGGGTTAAGTTACTTGCCGAGCCCTTCGTCGCAAGCGACGGGTTCGACGAGAACGGTGACTGGGGCTTATAGGAGCCATCTACCTAGAGGCATGAGTTCGAACTTTCAATATTCCATAGTCCATAACGCTCAAAACCCTACTACCAGTAAAATTTTAATTTTATATCACACAACATAATCTCGTTCATGTTAAATCACGTAAATATCTCCAAACCGAATCGCCTTGAGCATCCTGTCGGCTAAAATATTCAAAAAGAAATGCTTCAATTTCCGTTGTACTTGTTCTTGTGGTCGAAGAAATCGAAAAGTTGTTTTTGGCCGTGGCCTTGACATAGTTCGGGCGCGGTCTCGTATCGTTCGGGTATGTGTGTACGCGCTTTTGATTGATGAACGAGTGAATGTCGCGTGTGTGTAATAGTATTATGAGTTCCACGTACTCTAGTCACAACTGACGAATTATTATTGTTCGCGACTGACGAATTGTTATTGTTTTCTCCCTAATTTTGTGGATAAACTCGATAGTGTTGCCTATACATAAGTGAAATTTCCACACTAGAAATATTTTTTTTTTTATTGCTCTATATGGGTAGACGAACAAACTCACAGCCCACATGTTCAATGGTTACCGGAACTCATAGAAGTCATAGTTCAAATACCACCATCCATAGTTTTTCGGAACCTACCTTGAGAGCGTCGCTGTGGCCTAAATGATAAGACGTCCGGTGTATTCGTATTAAGCGATGCAACGGTGTTCGAATCCCGCTGGCAAGTACCAATTTTTCCATTGAAATACGTACTTAACAAATGTTCACGATTGACTTCCACGCTGAAGGAAGGAAGGCTGATCGTGTAATAAAAATCAAACCCGCAAAATTATGATTTGCGTAATTATTAAGTGGTAGGACGTCTTGTGAGTCCGCACGGGTCGGTACCACTACCCTGTCTATTTCTGCCGTGAAGCAGTAATGTGCTTCGTTTGGGGGGGGGGTAGCTGTTGTACTGCAAAAACTGAAATAATAGAACTCATATCTCAAGGTAGGTGGCGGCATTTACGTTGTAAATGTCTATGGGCTCCGGGAACCACGTAACACCAGGCCGAGAGCTCGTCCACCCACTTAAGCAAATAAATAAAAATAAAAATGAGATGGATGACTCACTTGTTGTATAAAGAACGATCACACCCTTGGAAACGAAAGGCTTATCTATTTCGCAGCAAATATATAAGAAGTATGTCCGTATCTACTGGTGCGAGCCTCAAAATATGCCATACAGCGGAAATTGCGCTAATTTATAAATAGAGACTACCTTGTTGTTGAAATTCAATGTATTTTTAAAAGAATTTTTAGAAATGTATTACTTCATGTTAACATTCGGGCTCTGAGTCGTACAGTACGAAAGCTTCGGTCAATGCTCCTATTGCTTCACCAATATTGGTGCTAAAATTCCGTAACCAATGTTAGTTAGTACCAAGTGTCAGCAATTTTTATTCCAGTGCTTTTTATTTTTTGTACTTACTTTAAATATATGGATATTGTCAAACATTGAAATGGAACAGAGATCTTATTTGATTCTTG